GAAACAGCAAATGCCACAAAGCCTGCCACGAAAGTGACAGTCCGCTCCTCCAAGACATAAAATCAGCTTTATCTGCAGAAGAAAAGATGCCCAGACCTATCCTGAAAGGAGAGGTGAAGGGAGGATGGGAAGAAGTGAGGGAGGGAGAGAGAAAGGAAGAAAGAAAGGAAGGGAGGGAGGGAGGGAGGGACAAAGGAAGGAAGAAAGGGAGGTAGGAAGGAAGGAAGGAAGGACTCTATGCCCAACGATCTTCAGGAAGTATTTGCTGCTTGATGACCAAGGCCAGGACTCAGCTTTAGCTGCAGGCAATGGGAAGGGAAGGGCGTACAAGTTGGGCAGGAAGGCATGGAGGACTCTGGTCTGGGTGGTACCTGAAGGGCTCTCATGAGGATACCAGTTCTGAGCAGGGGAAATGGCACAAAATCCTGCATCTGTGTCAAGCTCTACACGTTCTAGGACATTCTCACTCACTATCCCATCTCTTTGTCCTTCCACAAACAGTGATGGTCCCCTCCACATCACAGCTGGTCCAGAGAGACAAAAGAACTTGCCGAACATTGCCCAGAAGATTAGTGTGATAGACTCAGCCAAGGCTTTCACTCCTGGGGCTGAAAAAGGCTCTAAGATGGTAGTTCTAGAGGAAAGAGTATGGCCCCCTGCCCCCTGCCCCCTGCCCACTCCCAGAGCACAGGGGATGTTCTTGTGCGGGTCCTGAGGACTCAGCATTCTCAGTTCTGGCCTCTGAGGGGTGGGGAGGGAGAAATGGAACTGCAGGGCTACAGGGCCTCAGCTCCTACCTCTCCAACCAGCACCCCGAGCCCTAGCGCCCTTCTTCACGCTCTCACCACCATTTCTTCCTCCCCTCAGCTCCCTAACCGTCAGGTCTCCCTCCCTCATGAGCAGGAGACAAAGCCTGTGCAGGGCTAGCTGCGCCCCCCCCCCCCCGCCCCCGGCCCCTTCCTCCTATCACAATAAGCAAGATCAAGAGGATGCTTGTAATAGCTGATGCCTGCCTGCTAGGGGTTGAATTATGTCCCTCCAAAATTCCTACGTGGAAGTCCTAACCCCAGCGCCTCAGAGAATGACCTTGTGAACTACTCAAGTGAAAATGAGGTTGCTAGGGAGGCTCTAGCCCACTATGACTTCTGCGCTTATGAGAAGGAGTCTGAAGATGTGCACCGGGGAAGAGCACAGCACGAAGGATGGAGCCGTGCTTCAAGGAGAAAGGCCTGGCCCAGATTCCTCCTCCAGCCCTCAGAAGGAAGTGACCCTCTCGACACCTTGAGCTCAGACTTCCAACCTCCAGTCTGTGAGACAGCTCCCGCGGGTTAAGCCACCAGCCTGTGGTACCTTGTGACCGCTGTCCTATGACATCAATGCCCCACCTAACCCAGCCAGCCCCATTGCTCCTTCCAGCTCAGATCTGCCCACCATGGTCAGGCCTCCTCCACGCCCACCTCATGTCTTTGCTGATGGGGTTCCCTCCCCTCCAACGAAGTCACTCCATCCCTCAAGGTCCAGCTCAAAGACCCACACAGCAGGTCACAGCACTCTGTCTCGCTGAGCTCATCTGTCCTTGTCTGGTCTTTTCCACAGCGAGTGTCTGGGCTGTTATGTAATGATTTTCCTGAGTGTTAATCTTGCCTTCCCAACAAGAATGTAGATTTCACAGGGCAAGAGATATTTCTAACACTTGCCTTCTACCCTGCAGCTTGGCGCTCTGGGGAGGCCATAGAAAGCATCTAATAAATACTGGCTTGAAACACCTCTCTACTGCGCCCTGTGTGTTCTAGCTACCTCCTTCTTCCTGGCTGCAAGCTGCTTGAGGGCAGCAACCATCCATTATCTATGTTCCTTGTATCTTTTGTAGTAGGAAAGAACAAATATATGAGGCAGGACAATTAAGTTCATGAATTCATCCTAGAAAAAATGCTCCATACCTCATTGGTGAACATCACTACGTTCACCCTCAAAGTACCTCCCTTGGGAAGCTATGCACCAACGCCGGCACCTAGTCCACCCTTCAAAGCACTTTTTCTAGAAAGAGTTCGAAAACTTAATTGTCAGACCTTGTACACTGACAGCTCTGATGGCCACTCCAGAAAAAGAGTTCTGAAATTGCTTTGAAGGGTGGGCTAGGTGCTGGCATCAGCACATAGCTTCTAGAATGGAGTACCTCAAAGGTAACCATAGTGGCCAAGCACAGTGGCTCATGCCTGTAATCCTAGCACTCTGGGAGGCCGAGGCAGGTGGATTGCTTCATCCCAGGAGTTCCAAACCAGCCAGAGCAAGAGAGAGCCCCCATCTCTACTAAAAACAGAAAAACTAGCCAGGTGTTGTGCACCTGCCCATAGTCCCAGCTACTCAGGAGGCTGAGGCAAGAGGATTGCTTGAGCCTAGGAGTTGGAGGTTGCTGTAAGCTATGACACCACAGCACTCTACAGAGGATGATAAAGTGAGACTCTGTCTGGAAAAATAAAGGTGACAGTAGTGATATTCAACAGTGAGACATGTAGCACATTTTCTGGGATGAGTACAAGAACTTAACTGTCAGACCTCGTACGCTGAATGGATAAACATGAGCATATGGCAGAAATTATTCACCATGTGCCCCTTACAGGTTTCAAGGGATCCGGGAGCCCATGGACATTGCCTAGAAAGGACTCGTGTGTCCAGGTTTATGTAGGCAATGAGCATTCTCCCAGGGAGAGAGTTCATGGAGGCTTTGAGCAATTAAAGTAAGAGTCAGTACTGAACATGCTGAGAACCAGTACCACAGAGGAAGGAACTGGCATTTATGAAGCACCTACTCTGTGTCTGGTGATGCAGGCACTCCTGTCCCCAGTTCACATGAGCAGACATGGAGGTTCAGAAAGGTAAGGTCTTGCCTGAGTTCAGGACAACAGGCAGCCTGTCCAAGCAGTCCAAGAGCACACACTGTGCATCTAGGTTCAACTCCTTCCATTTTCTAGCTGTGTGATCTTGGGCAAGTTAATTTCTCTGTGACTCAGTTTCCCCATCTATAAAATGAAAGAAATAAAGACACCTGCCTCTTAAGTCTGTTGTGGGGAAAAGATGTGTCCGTGTACACAAAGTGAACACAAGGGTGCCTGGCATGCAGCCTGTGCTCAGAAGACAACGAAGAGAAAAAGAAAGAGGCTGGCAGTGGCAGAGCGAGGTTCAAACCCAGGTCTGTGTGACCAGTACCTAGGGTGCAATATGCCCTGTCTCTCTGCTGGAACTCTCCTGTCCTCTCTTAGAGAAACCCCCTCAGTCCTGGCTTTTTGATGAGCTTGACTTCCTGGTAGGCAGGCCTGTGATCACCAGTTCAGCAGGTGGCCCGGTGGTTACATAAGGAGTAGGTCAGAGAGTTGTAAACTTCCCTTCCCAGTCAGCACGACTGAGCCCCTGTAGAATAAGAACACCTAGCACTTCTGCCCGGCTCTTCATTTTCCAAAAGCTTTACCGCCATCCACTAATGGAAATTAGAATGGGAACGCATTCTTCCATTCCTGGAGCCTGATGCTGACGTCCAAACTCCCTTTGTAATTTCCCCAAGTCCATCACCATGCCCTGAGGTAGGCTGGTCCACGCACATCCCTCCTGCTGAGGCTTTACAGGTCTTGTGTCCCAACCCTGGCCTCACTCACTCCACTCAGCGCAGACAGAGCAGCAGCAGTGGAGCCTCTGTCCTGATTTTGCTCCTCCTCCTGGGTCCCTATAGTCACCCCATCCCAGGTGAGGCCAATACCTTGTCCTAGCCCAGACCTCTGCCCTGCTTCAGAGGAACAACACCCTTTTGAGATTTGTTTTAGGTGCGTTTCTTTGTGTTTTTCCTGCAAACCATCACTATTGAACTCGTTTGAGGGAGCATTTTTCATTCATCCCTGTAATGCAATTAGAATTGAGTTTCTCCAGCATTAAGGGAGATGTAACAACAGTAGGGGAAAATTGTTATTTCATTCCCAACGTTAACACCCACTCTGCCCCAATTTTCTCTCTGGTGCTAGCTTACTCTACCTACCCTATGGCAAAGAGAATACTAACGAGGAAAATCACTCTCCAAATGAGAAGGCAGAAGCTGTGGGGGTGGATTCTCTTCTCAGTCATTAAACAGGGGCCTCCCAGCTTCTCTGACAGTCTTGTGAGGTCAAGGGAACCTTCTAATGCCCCCTGGAAAAGCCCCACACTGGTCCCATTTCATTGGTCAGAGGCAAGTAGAGAAAGGTTCCCTTAGAATCTGACAAGGCCCTGCAATCATTGTCCCAGGGAGCTTAAGTGACTTTCCCAAAGCTACCTGGCTGGGAGGCCCAGATCTGCAGGCTCTTGCTCCTATATGCCTCCCACTACACAGCCCTGCCCCTCCCAGGGGGCCTGCGGCTGCCAGCAACTCAGCTCTCATCTTTCTGGGGGACACTAGGCTGCAGTTTTCTGAGCCACTGCAGACAAAAGAGGGAAAAGGTAATGTTTGTCTTTCATGCATCCACCTTTTCTCCAGTGTCCCCCAGTCCTTTTTGGAAATTCTCCCACCTCCTGGTTTGCCTTGCCCTGACCATCGTCCTCCTAGGTACTGTGGTGTTGCCATCCAATGATCCAGCCTTCCTTCCTCCCTCTCCTGCTTCTGTCCATCTCTCCCTTCATCCACAAAGCCTCAAACCTACTGTGGCCTTATCCCTGTGTCAGGTCCCCCCCCCCCACTTGCTCCGCAGAGTGCCCACTCCAGAAGGATCCATTCCTCCCCAATCAAAGCCTAGAACTGACCCACTTCCATCCACGCTGTGTAAGGAGTAAGGAGGCTGATCTGATGGCCAAATCCTTGCTAACAAGCTTGCACAAATCCCGTTACCCCTTCTGAGCCCTGGCAGCAGGCAGGGACTTTGGAGCCCTTTGGCTGAGGCCTGCTGCCCAGGGGACCTGGATGTCAGCCATACCTCCCTTCTCCTCCTTTTCCCTCCCCTCCCATCCTCACTGAGGGCAGGACAGCAGTAGCCTCTACGTACGTATGCAGAAGTCTCCGTTCTCATAGTAGCCAGGGCAGCACTGGGACCTCCGCCTGTACATGGTCCGGAGGCCTCGCCGATACGCTGTCTTATAACTGATCCTAAGGCACAAGGGAGAAAGCGACTTGAAAGTATTGAAAATCAATCACTCCCATTTAGAATGATATTTGTGTTAAGCTATATCGAGGATGCCATTCAATAATTACTTTAAAATGCATGGCGGCTTCGAATATGAAGGAACACAATAAAAAAATCGATGGCGGGATCTGAGCTGTTGTGATGCAGAATGTATTACCAACACAGCGTTTGCTAAACCGCTGACTTTTCCCCAATCTCCTCTAACTAGAAGGGCTGTAGAAGTCACGTTCTGGGGTCACACTGTGGAGGGGAACCATAAACTTCTCCTTGGTTCCTTAAAACCTCCAGGTTCTGGGCTGAAGTTGCCCATGAGGTCACCTGGACAGGAATCAGCCCTGGGAGTTTCTGTGCCCTCCCCATCCCCACCTCCAATAGGCCAGACAGCTCACAGCCCTGGATGTTGGCCCATCCACTCGGAGAACTGAAGCAGAGTCAGCAAAAGGGCCCTGAGTCTAGCTTAGTCTCAGAGAGTGACTTAATCCCCTGACACCAAAAATAACACCTCTAGGAGGGGTGCCCCACGTGACATCCCTGGGAAGGCCTAACCTGACCACCCACTCTGCAGTGGAAAGAGGTTCACAAAGCAACCGATGCTCTTGGACTGGGGGTCTGACGCCCGGCTTCCAGTCTTCTGACTTAAGTGTGTAGACTTGGCCCTGTGCCAGACAGATTACAGGCGAAATCTCATTTCATTCTCCCAAAACTCCTGAGGCAGGTACCATTATTATGCTTCCTTTATTGTATTTATTTTATTTCTCTTTTAGAGTTTTTATACTTATTTTATTTTATGTTACCCTCAAATCCCCCTCCCCCTTTGTTTTATGGATGAGAAAACTAAGACTAAAACTAATGACTAGCACGGCTAATAAATCAGAGCTGGGATTCAAAGCGAGCTCCCTCTAACTTCAAAGGTCCCTCTGACTTACTCTGCTGTCCTGTGCCAGTGTTCACAGGCCTTATAGATGGTCACAGTGAAGGAATAAGAGTAAGGAAATATGGAGGTATGAGACCTGAGTCCTAAGGAGGGAGTCAAAATGGGGTAGGCAAAGCCCCCTCCTCGCATGCAGAGTCAAAGAGGTGGAGATGTGGAGTGGCTGTAGAGACAGAGAGAGAGGAAGTGACCTGCCCAAGGTCATGGATGTAACTCGGACTGAACCCCAGTCCTGGGGCCTAGAAGACAGAACTCATTCCATTTGCCCACCAGCACCTGGGGGCACCTGCCCTGTGGACCCCTCTTTGGCAGCAGAACAGCAGGCTCTGGTCATCAGAGGAGCCCACAGCCTGCTTTCCTCAGAGAGTCAGGCCAGCTTGGGAAGGGAGTCCTATAGCACAGGCTGGGACAACCCTCCCAGTCTTTAAAGACGTCGCTTCATGACAAATGACAATATGGGACCCTGGGGAAATCTGTGGTATTTGGGAATGTCGTAAACTAAGGTCATTCTACTTTGTCAAAAACTCATACTGGAAGGTAGGCTGGCCTTGAAGGGAAGCTCCCTCCCCAGCACAGGAAGGCAGCTCCCGGCAGTCTCGGGGCTTGCGTGAGACTCTCAGACGAAGACTGCCCGAGGATGGACTCAGAGGTCATTCAGTCTGTCATGACAGACAGACAACCGGGACGACCCAGCAACCGGGACGACCCACAAGCCTTCCCAAAGGGGAGGTGGTCTGGGCACCATTAAAGCCTCTCAGGAGAGAACTGCCAGCCGTGGCTTCTGGCTCACCAGTCTTTGTTTGCTCCCTGTACAGGGCGGGGTGGGGGAGTGGAAACAGCTGGGGGTAGGGGCGAGCACCAAGCTGCTCTCAGGAGAAGGATGCTGAGTTAAAACAAGCCATTCTACACTGATGCAGACGGATGGTGCGGCTGTCGGCACACACACTCTGGGTCATCAGGAAAGCTGCAAGGCGACTCAATAATTTAGCAAAATAATTCATGTTCCAGGAATACAGCCTATTTTAATAAGCAGCCACTTACTCACCTAGCCCCAGAGGTGATGGACGATCGCTCTAGCTTCCAAGAACCCAACAGAGCTACACTTTAGAGCAAACTTGGCTCTTGCTCCAGGCTTTCCAGGGCTCAGGGAGGAGCAGGACTACTATTTCTGTCTCTGCCTTTGACCAAAGCCACAGGCAGCCAATTCTAGCAAAATTAGAGGTAGGAAGGGAGTATTTGGGCCCATCTCCTCATTTCATAGTCAAAGGCTAGAGGAAGGGGATACAGTATTGGGAAAAACCTCTCTGCAAATAACAACTATAAAATTTAGGAGAAAATATAAGAAGGCACTAGAGAGAGGACAGAAGCAGGCAGATATTGGAGGGGTGGACATTTGGAAGAATGGAACAACCCTGGGAAATTGAGCCCAATAACACCTGGGATGACTAAAATTCAGACAGAAAACATACAATCTTACTGGTTTGAAGAACCACAGGACAAACCCAGGGTGGACTCAGAAGCTGGTTAAGTGAAAAGGGAAATCTTAGAAAGGAGAGAGCTACCAAGAGGGAATCCCAAATTCTTAGGAAAGTCTCTGCCCGAACTTCTGGCCCCTGAATTATAAGTAAGGAGGGCAGATGCCAAGCATTCTGGCTAAAGCTAAAAATACTGAACTTTCATGGTTTGAAACTTGAGCCAAGTAAACTGGCTGTTAAAAGAGGTAAAAACAAACAACACCAAATCAACACTCTTGGGAGGAACATACCAGAATCTAGTCTCTATGATATATCATTCACAATGCTCAGAACACAATCCAAAATGACTAGACATAAAAAGAAACATCCTACCTATCCAGGAGGAAGGGCAATCAATGAAGACCAACTCTGAGATGACCCAGGTATTGGGACTAGCAGGCAAGGATTTTAAAACAGCTCATATAGCTGCGCCCAATGTCCCACTGCAAGTTAGCAGCAAAATCTCAAATACAACGAAGGCTTGGGCTTCTCAGCACAGAGCAAGTTTTTCCATTCACATTGCTGCCCACCATGATTCCTGAATAATCCCCAAAGAGGGGCTGGGCTCACAGGAGGGAGCAAAAGAGGAAAGCTGGAATCAACACAAATGTTCAGCAACTTGAAAAGAGCCCACCACGTGGCCTTTCCTTCCTTGTCTTATTTACTCTCATCTGCTGGTTTCCTACCCCTCAAATGATAATGTCACCTCACGTGTGTCTAACACCTCGCAGTTTCCTCCATCTTCCCTGGCACTTTTCAAAGTACTTTCATGTTCCTGACCTCACTGAATCCTGCAAGGTAGGCAGAGCAAAGATTATTACCTGTTCGATGAAAACATTAAGCATCCCAAAATAAAGTCACTTGCTCAGGGTCATCCCTAAAACACATGTCCTCTTTTCTTTGCTCTCGTCTCTTCCCTAGTGAGAGGATAAAGTGTCATTGTTTATAGGAGGGCTGCAGACAAGGCTGCAGGATTGCCATGTGCAGTTCACATTGAGCACTGCTAAGGGGGACCCGGCCAGGGTGCTGAGAGATTGCTGAATTCTGGCCTGCACTCTGCTCTCCAAGCCAGATGCCCTGGCAAGTGGTTACATCTGCTCTGATTGGCCAACTTAGGTTGGATTTTCCCCTAGAAGCAGACCCTGAGACATGATTTCAAAGAAAAGCAGTGCACTTCAGAGGTGATCCTCAAAAGGCCTAGTAAGTGAGCAGATAATGAGAAGGGGAAGTAAAGGCAGCCAGCACAGGGTATGCCACTGAGTTACTGCTGGCAACTCCTGGGATGCAGTGAAGAGCATGCCTCGGAGTTTCCCTCCACCCCAAGAGCGAGGAAGTTGGAGTGTTTATCTACCGAACCCCCATCTCCCTGTCACTGTCTGAGGCATGCCCTCCAGTGTATCAGCTCTCCAGCACTCTGACCTACCCTGCCCTTTGGCCACAAAGAAGCTATCAGCAGATAACTCAGGCATTCAGTGCAGAGGGTGAGCGCCACAGGGACATGCGATGTGCCCAACAATATCTGTTCCAGTGGGCTTTTTTTACTTTGCACAAAGTCAAGGCCCAAGAACCCAGCACCTATTGCCTGCCCCATATCTGAGAGAGATACTCACCGGTGCCTGGTGCACTTGAACCAGTTCAGGATGTCTGTGCAGCGCGTGTAATAGATCTGATCGAAGGGGTGTGCATATGATTCTTGGACAGTGACGGCGTAGCTGAGGACAAGCCAGAGATGTGAGCTATGGTTAACACTTTGGAGGCTGAGCCAAGCCCACAGCACCAAGACCAGGGGCCATGGTGGGGCATCAGGGGGCTCTGATCTCCCTATCCCAGCTACTCTTCTTCTGCCTCGGATGCCCTCAGTATTCAAACCCCCCAAGCCTGGGTCGAAACCAGGACACATCCTTGATCTTTTTTTTTTTTTTTCAGTTTTTGGCCAGAGCTGGGTTTGAACCTGCCACCTCCAGCATACGGGCCGGCACCCTACTCCTTTGAGCCACAGGCATTGCCCCTACATATCCCTGATCTTTGGGCCCAACTAATTTTCTAAAATGTTAGTTCCCTTATTCATTTAACATAGAATGAATAAAGAAAGTTTAGACTAATACATTTGGTGTGGCTTTGGAAGGCAGAGCCAACATGTTTTAAAATATTTTGTTTGTTCTGATTTTTATGATGTCCAAAGAACAAGCATGGAAGTTGATCTTTATAGCAACTATATGAAGGAAAGCAGCCCCATTTTATAGATGAGGAAACTAAGGCTCAAAGAAAGGCAGCTTGCCCAGGTCACGCAGCTAGTACTCCATACCAATAACTGCTAATTGTACTGAGTGCCCTGTGTTAAGTGTTTCAATCCATTTTAATCCTCACACAATCTTAAGTAGCCAGAATTGTTCTCACTTTACAGATGGAGAAACTGAGCATCAGAGAGCCTAAGTGACTTCCCCAAGGCCCCCCTCTATTCTATTCTCCTCACATAGTTAGAGGTACTTTGAGTATCTGCCCTCAGACCTCCAATTGGAGGAGTATCTGTCATCCTGCCTATTAGCTATGAACCTGGACCAGCAGGTGGAAGCCACAGGGAAGCAGATCTCAGCTTAACCAAAACAAACCTTTCTAACTACCTGTCCCTGGCAGGGGTTGTGTGAAATGGCATTCAAGCCAGGATGCTAAAGGAAGATTCACACTCCTTATGCAGGCTGGAGAGAGGACCTCAGCTGACATCTCAGGAATTAATTTCTATGTGGGTTGGTATTATTCAATGTTTTACCCAGAAGGCTCACTGACCTGAGCCAGATGGCTGGGTTCAGGCTATAAAAGCCCGTCTGCTTTGCCTGAGGAAATGGTTGGTTAACTTGCAAGAGGGCTGGGCAGGCCAGCTCCCCAAGTAGGTCGACAGCAGGCTCGCTGATGCCTGAAAGTTCAAAGGTCTAGAATCCAGACGGAGTAGGTCAGAGGCAGTCAGCAATGCTCAGATACCCAGGGTTTGGGAAATTCTATTTCTTTGAGCTCTGAGGATGTGAGGAAGGCTGTTGGCATTACCTGAGAGATGCCTCAGAGGCATACGTCTATGCAGACGCAGCCCAAAGCCCTGTTTTATTTCTAGGCTTAGGGAAACTGAGGTAGATTAACAGCCACGCTGGCTTCCCATAGGACTCTTCCAACTCTGAAATCGCATGACCCTCAGCTGCTACATATCTCCTGAAGGCCTCACAGAGAGGCAGGAGAACGAATGGGGGTGAGCGTGCATGGGGTTTGGGGTCCAAACATGAGGACAAGTTTAAAGCCTGTCACCTGTTAGTAGAGTGTCCTTAGACATGTCATTTAACTCACATAAGCCTCCACTTCCTCTTCTGTAAATCTCTGACAAATGTTACTGGGGACTTCATGTGGTGACTGTTAGGGAGAGCAGTAACAGCAGCTGTCTCTCAGGAGACGGGGAATGTAAAACAAGACAGTACTGTACGTGTAAATGCTTCACAGGTACACAGTAAGTGTTCGATAGATGCTGGCAGGCAATGATTCACCTCCCATGCAAGGCATTGAGGGATCGTTTCTCTCTGACCATGGAAGGGAAAAGAGGCAACAAAACCTGCAATGGGGTCTCCCCCTTTGTTAAGCACTTAGGAGTTCAGCCTCTCCTCCCAGCACTGGCTGGGACAGTGAGGGGGTCAGAGAAAAGGCCCCGGCCCAACAGAGGGGGTTGGGAGCATGATGGGAGAGGATGCCTTGGGCTGAGCGAGTCTGACTGCAAGGCTCTGCACCGACTCCAGGCCTCCGTCCTGAAGCGTGTGCCTCCGGTCTCATGGCTGGGTGGTTTAACACTGCTCATCTGCCAACATGCTAATGAGGAGCTGGATTAATCTTGTAGATCCAGGCTTTACTAGCCAGGAGAGGTCTTTACACTGGGTTTTATGGTGGAGGGGCATAATTAATGAGGAGCCTGCCAGAAGTGCTAATCCAGCTGGGAAATTCTCTCTAGCAGTCTCTGGGGACTGAGCTGGGTTTCCGGAATGAAACAGTCTAGCTCTGTCCATGTACAACTTGCAGTGGAGCTCAGCTGTAAAGGCTGGGAAGGAGGAGGCGCCCGATGTCACCAGGCATCACCTGCAAGCCTCACCCCCCAGAGCTAGAGAAGCTAGCTCTTAGCTCTTGGGTTCACTCGTGTTAGCTCTTGGGTTCACTCCTCATCTTAGCTCTTGGGTTCACTCATCGTCCTCCCACCCAGATCGTGACCTTGGCTCATAGCTCAATCAGCCTGAAATGCCAGCTCAGTTCAGAATATTTTCACATTCCAAATGTATTGATGTTCTGCAGGTTTAAAAAATTAGAGAGCTCCAATTTGAACCGATCCACTTGTATACAAGAGAGACGTCAGAGTGATCCCCGCCATCAAGGGAGGCTCCCTGGAGGAGAGGGTCCGAGGACAGAGCCACTGGGGAAAGGAGAGGGGAGCAGATGGGAAGGAGAAATTCTCAGGGCTATATTCTCTAGACAGAGCTCAGACAAGAGCCAGAAGTAACTATGTCTCAGGTGGGTCAGACGGATGAAAGTGTTTCTGTGAGTCTGAAAACCAGAGACCAATATGGAGTTCTACCTATATCTCTCTGGCCTACTGGAGAATAAAGGGTTAAATTCACCAAAACCAGAGGGATGAAAAATGCAGCATTGAATCATAATATCTGTCCCAGGAAACTGTTTTTCATATTCACTCCCAGTGTGTGTGATGTGCACGGAAGTCTATGACAACCAATTCCTGAAAAGCCGGAGTTGTCAACAAGAAAAGACAGTCATTGAGTTTTATGGTCTTCAAAGCACTTTCATGAAACTGATGCCCCTGATCCTCCACCAAGCCTGTGAGGAAGGGGTAATTATTCTCCCCCACTTCACAGAGATGGAAGGAGGCTCAGAGCAATTCAGAGACGTCCCCAAAGTCACATAGCTGGCAGGAAGGAAAATCCAGATCAGAATAAACTGGTCTTCTCATCCTGGATCTTGATTTCTTTCCATCTCACTAAAAAGGGGCACACCCCTGTACTGCCTTTCCGTCCAGCCTCGACTTTGCTGGGACACCCTGTGAGCATCTGGTCACCGGAGATCACACCAGTGGGGGCACTGTCCCTCTGCCTCCCAGCCCATCCTTCCTGGTGTACAAGCAGCCAGGCTACCCTAGAGCCCTGCCTGGATGAGGTATATTTCCTGGCCATGGGGCCGGGCCACTCACAGGCACAGAATGCAGACCACCCACCTCATCTCTCCTCCTCCACCATCCACGTCCGCTACTGGGCCCTCGCTTAATTTTATTCATTTGATTTACTAACATCTAAGTGGCAGAGTCGTCCTGGTCAGCATGGCCAATCAATTCCAGGGTTTAATTCAGTTTTTCCTGATTGGGTCTCTGGTCACTGATCTTCTGCTCACCAAAATTGATACTTTAACCTTGTGCTTCAAAGTCAGGCTGTCTGCAGGGACCTAGCCCGTTCCCCCAGGACTTAGTGTCACAGCCAGAATGCAGCTGGGTCTTCTGCAACAGCCTCAGCTGCCCTTCCCCTGGCACTCGCCCTGTCCCTACCAGACTAGAAGCAGCAGGGCCCTCAGCTGTCCTCCCTGGGGCGAGTGGCTGGCCACACATCCAAGCTACCATGTAGCTGCCAGTCTGGGGAAAGGAAAGGCATCACAGCATCAGAGAGCAAGACCTCTGGGACCAGGGTCCATGTCCCCCATTGACTGTACCCCATCTGGCTAAGGATGGTACTGAGCCCCTCTGGGCCTCTCCTTCATCCGCACAATTGCTAGGAGTGCAAATGTACAGCAGGGCAGGACACTGTCACTGCAGTCCATGTCAGCTGCTTCCACCTGGACCTCATGAAGTTTCCCCAGCTGGACTGCAGGACTTTCATGGGCAGCTTCTATATCTCCCAACTGCCTCTGTCCCCACAGTGCCATGTCTAGGGCATGCCCCCAGAGGTCCCTGGCCATGTGTGTCCCACACTTACCTCTCCCAGTGGCTGCACACATTGGGGTCCTCAGGGTTCAGGGTGAGGGCAGCTTGCAAGAGGGAAAAGATAAGGAGCTGTGTCGTGGAACGCGCCATCCCGGGCCCTGTGTGGGAGAACAAAGGAGGCTGAGTCTAATCAGACCATGTTCCTGGGCATCTGTTTGGTGCTGACTCGCTAAGCAGACTAAGTTTCCCATCATCGTCGAGTAATGAGCATTTGATATTTCACACTTCAGGCTTTGAATAGCACGGCAACAGTTCACCAGTTCTGAGTAACCGGAGAGTGGGAAGCCTGAGTCAGGGAAAAGTTTAAATTCCAGGCCAGGGGTTCTGACTGTTTTTTTGCCTTGGGGACTGCTTTGAGAATCTAATGAAAGTTATAGATTCTCCCCCCAGAAAAATGCCCAGATGCACAAAGTCGGCTATAATTTCATGCTGTTTTCAGGTCCCCAAGCCCATCTGTGGACCCAAGGACCCCAATTCTTAAGTGTTTTAAAGAAGGCAACCCCCTTCCCTGTTCCCTTCATCTTTGACGTTCCTTGCCCATCCACTTCCTTTCCCAACTCCCTCTGGCCCCAAAGAAAGGGAAGAAAGTTGTTTGGCATGGCCCTCGGAGAGCTGAGCTCAGAAAACCCCTCCAGGCAGCTCTGGCCAAGCAAACACTCAAAGACTGGACCCTGCCTCTCCTGCCTCCCACGGGCAGTTACACACAGAGTGTGCAGTCATCGTGCGTCATTCTCACCGTGGGAGGACAGGCTTAGACACCTGGTAAGGGGCTTTAGGGAAGCAGCTTGCAGAATTTGATCCAGGCCCCTGAGGTGACAGCCTGTGGCAGTCATCAGGTGTGCCTACATGGAACACCAACTCCCTCAGTTCACTAACAAAGGGCTCCTGGAACAGGGAGAACCTTTTTGAGTGGGAGTGGCTGAAATGACCCCTGAGGTTCCTTCCTGTCCCAGTACTCTAAGGTCCTCCAGCCTTAGAGAACTTCTAGTCCAAGGATTCCAACCTGGTATGTCCCTGACCGTAAGGGGTGAAGGGAGCTAGAATTCATAAGTGTCCAAGCGTCATCTACAATTGAATGAACGCTGTGACTCAAAAAGACAGCACTATTTTTCACATGGGCCTATATGCTATTGTGATTTATTTAAAAGCTTTACTGAATTCAGAGTAGCGTTTCTTCTCAACCAGCAATGCTAAAAAAAATTCCAGCTTCTAATAACTGAGGGTGGGGGTGTTATAGAAAATATTTTGATATTGTAAAGGGGTCCCTAGGGGAAATGGCTGGGGCTCTAGCCCACTGGCCCTGAGTTTGCAGAGAAGGAGGCACTCACACTACTTGGGGGTGCGGATAAGAGCGGCATGTGCTGCATTTGTACCCAGGGGGACGCTTAACAGAGTCCTTTTTCTGAAAGGTTAAACACTTTACTCCCCACCCCAATAATTTTCTTGTTAAACGCTTTCTAAGTAGCTTCCTCAAAGATAAACAAATTGTCACAGATTCTGTATAACTGTGGGGGTCCAAATTAATGATTAATGAGGGTTTTTTTCTCTGTATTTGAGATCTGGAAATCAGCTGACTAGATGCAGATTTAGCCAGATTTCAAATGAATGCATTTGGAAAATCGGACAGGAGAGGAGTGATTGTGGTGTTTCTGCTCAATTTACAGAGTCCAGCGACTCATCTCCACCCCGCCCACTCAGCCCCGCCACCCCCAGTCCTCAGAGACCTAACCAGCTCCTCTCAAACTGGAGTCTGCCCAGCATGAGGGCAACAGGGAACCTCAGTGGTCATTTTAATCCCTTCTCCTCTAGAAGAGTCAGCCTAGAGAAGAGAAAGAGCCTGCCTAGGGTATGGCATTGAGTTATTCAGAGAGTCAAAAGTGGACCACGCATCTTCATCCAGGTGGGCTGACCAGGTATCAAAGAAATAAACAGGACTCAGCACTTTGAAAGACAAAGAGCCTGAATGCCAAGTACAGAGAATGCTTCGCCTTGGTTCTCTCTGCAGCCGGCTGGACTCATTACTCAGGCTACTCCTATTCCATATTCTCCCAGGAGGACCCCTGGACAGCATCTTCAAACTTATTAAGCTTAGAATATGAAAAGATGAGGCCACGTGAATAATCGAAGTTTGTTCCTCTGGTCCCCTTTGATGCATGTGATATAAGAAAGAGGGAACTTGGGTGGCTGGCCCCATATACTGGAGGTGACGGGTTCAAACCTGGCCCCAGCCAAAACTGCAAAAAAAAAAAAAAATTTGACTCAGTGCCTGTAGCTCAAGCAGCTAAGGCACCAGCCACATACACCAGAGCTGGCGGGTTCAAATCCAGCCTGGGCCTGCCAAACAACAATGACAACTACAACCAAAAAAAAAGAGGGAACTTGGAACATTGCTATCATTTGTGAGATATTTTTAAATCTTCATGAAAACCTCTTTCTTTCTGAATTGGGTCTAGCCAGGATGGTTTGCCTGATTTCCTCTGTCAGGGAGATACCCAGAAACCAGAGCACATAATAGGGTATTGGGTGTTGGGATGAGCACCAAGAAGTGGGAATGGACAGTGAGGGGGAGCACAAGGGTGTGGCACCTCCACGGATGGTCTGAGGTCTGCCTCTGCAGTCCTTACTGCCCTAGAGTGATTGGGGCCAGGTCTGCAGAGCAGAAGGCCCTCCAGGAGTCCAACCTTATCCTTGCACAGCAAGTTCTCTATCCAAAGCCAAGTCCGCCTCTGTGATAGTGGGCAGGCAAAGGGGATGCCCAGCCTATAGGACAGAGGAGATGACTCCTCTCTAACCCCTGGAGCCCTCCGATTTTTCCTTTGAGCCTGGCCCAATCTATAAAATATGTAAGCTTATTACTGACCTTCCCCGCCCCCCGCCCCAGGGCAGGCTGGACTTCTGCTCAATCTCACCACCCAGCCTTACTCACCCTGTGCCGTATACTCGAGGTGAAGCTCAGGTCCCCAGCCCCTCTCAGTCCACTGCACAGCTTGGCACCCCAGGCATGTGACACTCATGTAGTTGACAGCTGGGGCCACAACATCCAGCAAGCCCATCTCCCTTCTCACACCAACATTCTTTCAGCATGTTTACTTGATCTTTCCGATGCGATTGTAAGCACCCTGAAGATGGGGTCGGGTCCTAGGCTGCCCTTTCAGGAATTGATTTTACAAGAAGTATTTCCACTTGTCTCTGACACTTCACTCAGGGGCAGTGCACAGCTGCCAGAAAGGAGCTGTCACCACGTGGGGGCAACTCATCCCCATTAACTTTAATGGGGCTTTCCTGGGCTCTCTCAGAGGACAGATCCCAAAGACATATGCTTATGAGATGACTGAGGGAAAATCAATCGTGCTGCAGTGGGTATTAGGCTGACTCCATTTGGAGTGACAGAGGTTAACGTATTGGGCGTCATCCGATTTAGGACATTACAAATTAAATAAGAAAATGCCCCTGGTTTCAGTTCACAGGGAGGGAACATGTAAACAGACTAGCTGGTCTCCCTCCCCATGTCCAGGCTTCCTGCATATTAAAGAGCAGGGGAAGGGAATGAAGTTCCAGAGGTGGAGACATCTCTTTTCTGGCTGGGAGGCACTGGCGCTGGACACCTGAAGAACTGGGCATGGGGGGATGCAGGGGAGAGAAGGTGGCCAGGAGGCTTGCCTCTCACACCTGCCAACAGGGTGTCACCAGCTCACAGCCATGGTCACAGCCTAAACTGATCAAATGCACACTCCAGGAGCAGCACCTGCCCAGCCCAGGCCAGCTGTGGAACGTGGTCCCTGTGGTCCCTGTGAAGAGGCCCAAAGCAGCAAGTGATTAAGTCCCCCTGAGGGGACTGTGAAAGCCTTGGAGGGGACTAGGACTTAGGATGAGTAGAATGCGGGAAGGTAAAGGGCAGAGAAAGGGCATTTCAGGGGCAGGTCCATGGAAAGCAGCACGTGGAGACAGGAATGTACAGGGATGCTGGAGGCACCCGACAGTGGAGGGCTTGCCCTGTGGAGTGGGAGTAGGGGCGACTGTGGAGTGAGTTTTCCAAAACTGGGTTCTGTGGAATGCTAGGCCCATTCGATTTTGATAGAAATCCCTCAGACACAGGTTGTCACGAATGAATGAGTTCAGGAAATACTGCGTGTTAAGCCCCCATGTTAAATACTCCCTGTGTATCTCATGTCTGTGCTCTGAGAAGACCCCGCCTAAAGAGACCTGTCTGACTTTGTTTCACCCAGTATTTCCCATGGAACTCTTTCTAGTGACACAGCCCCTGGAAGCAGAGTTCCTCACAACATCAGTTTGGGAAACTCTGCTCCTTTCCTCCAAGGTCCAGTCTGAAGGAAGGGCTAGTCTCTGTCAATCTGTGTCCTTAAGTTTGTATTTGTTTATTCAAATACTTGAGGGCCTTCTGTACCTGGCCTATAGTATTAAAAGGGATCTTCCAATGGGTATCTTAAGAGACACTGGGGCTGAGGGCAGTGTGGTTCACGCCTGTAATCCTAACACTTTGGGAAGCAGAGGTGGGAGGATTGCTTGCAGCTAGGCATTCGAGACCAGCTTGAGCAATATAGCAAGACCCTATCTCTATAAAAAATAGAAAAAAATAGGCATGTATGATGGTACACACTTGTAGTCTCAGCTGCTAGAGAGGCTGAGGCAGGAGGATCACTTGAACCCAGAAGTTTGATGTTGAACTCTAGTCCAGGCAACAGAGCAAGGCTCTGTCTCAAAATTTAAAAAAAAAGGGAGAGAGACACTGGCATCACAGAAAAGGATCCCTCCTCCTGGCCTGAGCCTTAGAGATGGCAGCATCCTCTGGAGGCCCCTGCCTTTTGTCTGGGATCCTGCTATCACCACCACCAGCACGGTAGAGTCCATCCTGTCTCCCTGGTGCTCACGCTGGGCCAGACACCAGCTGCTCACATCAGCCAAGATGCACACTGACCAGGGCACAGGGCAGACAAATAGATGGCCTCTGCCCTGGGATCAGTTGTTATGACCTTGGGGTCCGTCTGTGCAAAACTCCTAGCTACCTGCTTCACTTTGGCTACCTCATCTTGACTGTGCCTAAATCTTGGACACTGGAACCTGGTCCATGTACCTGGAACCTGCACTCTGTTCATCTC